TATTTTGGTTTGTTTTATTTTGAAAAAGTTTGGTCATAGTGTATTAACAGTTTTATGTTTTCTTTATATAGCATATTAAGAGCACTTAATGTGTTTTTTTTTTAAAAAACGTGAGTTTTTCCCATTTTTATTAAACATTCTTTGAAAGCATGATTAGTGATTTCATCTACTAAATAATAACAATCTTAGAAACCTAAGGCATAACGTTTGAGCATTTAGATAATGTCATGTAGAACATCATGTTCCAGGCATTTTATTACGTGGAAGCTTATATTTATTTTCATTTGACTACTGAAGTGACATTGATCATAATGTTGAACAAAACAGCAGTTGTTGAAAATATTTTATCATAATGGCATTTTAATTATGTATTGCTTATATATGTAAAATAAAATTAATATTATTAATTATTTGGAATCAAATGAAAGTATTCTCTATTTGAACAGGTAAAGTGTATGCAGTGGGTGGACATGATGGAAATGAACATTTAGGTAGCATGGAGATGTTTGATCCTCTCACTAATAAGTGGATGATGAAGGCATCAATGAACACAAAGAGGTAGATCAGCATGGAAATTTCTTTTGATTTGATGGTGGAAAATAAAGGAAGCTTCTTAAAATTGAAATGCCTTAATTTTTACTTTTTACATTTTTTAGGAGCTTAAAATACCTTCTTAAATGCCTTTTGTTAAAGCATCTAAGGTGATGTTTAATTATCATAATAAGTATTAATATATAAAATTTCACCTATAATAAATTAAAATATATATTGATTAATAGAAGAAAATTTATAGTAGCATGACTTAGAACTCTAACCAGTTCAACATTTTTATTAATGACATGAATACCAAATTTTCAGATATCCCAAAGGGTGAAAAGGGTAGCTAATATCATGTGATCAAATCAGGATTCAAAAGACACGATAGACAAACATATTCTAGATCTATAGGCAAAACCTAAGAATTTTAAAATTAGGAGAGTTATATATTACAGTCTGCTTTAGGTATTTAAAAAATCAATTACACCAGCACAACATGGTGGAAAATCAGGCCTGATTATGTTTCATATGGAAAAAAAAGTACCTGAACCAATATAAAACGGAGCTCTTAAAAGTAAAACAAAAAACCAAATTAATATAGTTGTCTACATTAAAAGAAATGAAGCAGTTAGATCAAAGGAGATTATAGTCATACTGGTCACTATGTTGATCTGTTCATATTTTATTTGTGGTCTCAAAAGTGCTCCCATCAACTGGGGTATAGGAATAAAAAATTAGACTCCCTTTATAGATTTTTTTTTTATCTTATCCTTTTAACGTTTATTTTGGGTGGATGTTTTATAATGAACATAATCTGTTAATACAATAATATATGTTTATAATTTGAAAATATCCATGCTATCTAGGGGGTGCACAAAAATATTGTTATGAATGTACAGGATGTATCTAAAGAAGGACTAACAGATCTGAAAACCATGTTGTATAAAAAATAGTTGAAGAGTAGTAGGCTGGAGAAGAGAGGACCTGAGGGAGTATCTAGATATTTTAAGAGATGTATGTTGCTTTAGTAGGAAGATGGATACACAAGTACACACGTACACATTTATTGATTGATTTTTCTTTTAACAGTAAGGAGCATACTGTAATTCCTTCTAATGACTAGAATTATATGACTGTACTTGTCAGAAAGATCACCTATATTTTTCACCAAATAGAAGATTAAATTAGATTGCCTTTCTTTTCCTTATTCAAATTTAAGATTCAGCAAATGGGGTGAGGACCTCAAAGACTGAGTTTAATAATTCACCTAACCTAGAAGCTAAAATAATCTAGATTCTGCCTCTTTGATTCAGAGTAAAAATATAATAGAGGAAAGAGAAAAGAGGACTATCTAAGTAAGTACTGAAATACTGTTTAAGAGTAGCTTTGTTTGGAGAACAAAACTCAAAATATCTCAATTGCAATTTTATTTAGGAAAAAAGAAAAAAACTCAAACTACCAAAGACCCTAACTTAGACATTGTGGCTTGTTGGGTTTGCAAGTTGTAGCAGTATTCTGTAAGAATTAAAAATAATTTGTTAGAAAAATGAGCAGTTTTAACTGAGCTGTACATGGGCATACATTCCCATGTAATTTTCTGTTCTTGATGAATTTAACATGAAGTGTTTGTAACTGGGTTTTCTCCATGTGTTAAAGCATGAAAGATTAGATGGAAATGTGAAGAGAGTTCTGCTGAGAAAAGACTTGTAGTTTTTTTTCCTCGTGAAGAAAAAGAATCCTAGAAAAAGACAAGCCACGCCAGCCGCTCTGACAGGGATCACAGTAGAGGGTCCCAGACAGAGTGGGAGAAAAATATAGAATGAAACTGAAATTCACAAAAAAAGATCAGATTTGCTGGTCTGACAGAGATTGGAGGAACCCCTGAGACTATGGCCGGCTCCCAGACGCCCTGCTAACTCAGAACTGAAGCCACTCCCGAAGTCCACCTTTCAGCCAAAGATTAGACAGGCTTATAAAACAAACAATAACATGTGAGGAACATGCTTCTTAGTTCAGTCAAGTATGCATGGGCACACCAGCCCAAAAGCAAAGACGAGAAGGCAGGAAGGGACAGGAAAACTGGATGAACGGACACG